CTGGTAATTATCATGCTAGTCAAATCAGGCCATGGGTTATTTTTCAGGCTTCTTACAACGTCCATTTTGTTCTTAAGATTTTTTACAATCTTGGTATCCCCCGTTCAATCATGATTCGGATCGCACGCATGCTCGATGACCGTATGCATCAGTTTGATCATTTGTCCTCGGTAATGCGGTTTAAACGTAGTGTCTATGAAGTCTATTACATGACATGCTTTCCCCGCGGAGCAGCCGCACTTCAGCTGATCATCCGTAGCGGGGCCAGAACTCCAGTTGCGCTTCATCAGCTTTTGCGCAGCGTCAGACATCCTTTTCAGAATTCAATTCTCTCCAAGAGATAAACTTTGTCCCCTAATCGATATAGAATGTTGTCACCGTTTCCTAGAATCTGGACTGACTGTTTTAATCCACGACGGTCCAGGCCTTGTGCAATTTCAGTTTCAATTTCCAGTTTATGGTTCAGATCCGTCGAAGCCTTATTAATTGAAAAATTGCAGAGTACGTCAGGCTCAGACAAATTGGATTGTTGAAGCTGATTCTGTTGGTCCACGTAGATAATGTTTTGATCAACAAGATATTGCCGTAGCTCCGTCGACCATGCTGTAAAACCCTGTATTGTTCGCAGATCTAGGAAAGCTGTGATAACTGCAGAGTTTATGAGGTCAGCCGCTCTTTGCTCACTGGGGATGTAGCGTAGCCGTAGTCACGAGGAAGTGGCGGCGGATCTTCTGTACATTCGAACTAAATAAATTGTTGTGGGGAAAGGTCCGTTTTCTACGTTTCGGATGTTGGTTGGTTGGTTTTTGAGATGGGGGGGTGTTGCACTCAATAGTGGAGGAGGGTGAAGGGGGGCCTGTTTAGGATGTGTTTTGACCGGCAAAGCCTCGCATATGTCACCAAAGAGAATTCTGTCGTTTTCACTGGAAGATATTTTGATTAAAGATTACGAGGTAACTCATTTATTAGGATTTTTGTTAAGACGCTGGCAATTTGTTTCAAGTAACGGTAATGTATTGTGGCTTGGGTAAACTTAATCCAATAGCCATTTATTAAACATACAGCAAGGAACACATAGATGGGTGAGTAAACGCTGAAAAAGAAACATTACAATATCATTGTTCAGGTTTGTTATACCAAATACACGATTATCAGACAGATCATTCGGTTTTAAAATAAATTTAACTTGACTGAAACAGCTCGTCTATCGTTGAAATAAAATGTTGAATCACTTTTTAATCTTTTGTGGTTGATGAAACGATGTGTCTGAGCTCATGAAAAATGTGTTAATTGTATTATTATTTTAAAAGAAGCAGTCTTGATTCCGAGTGCTACATGGATATTTCAAGATAAAATATTTTCAAAGATCCTTGTGCTGCATTCTGTATTCACACACATTACCCAAAAATTGTGTTAAGTTATCACAAAAATCGTTCTATTTTGTTGTAGAGCATTAAACCGTTACGCTGCCTCCGAAGCCTGTCCGAAATCAGTTTCATGAGGTGCCTTCGTGCAAAAACGCTGCCTGCAAAGTCATTGCTTCATATGGCAGGGAGGCAGCAAGTCAGCAGCCTAAGTTTTCGGATGCAGCCAGTGATTTGCTGGTCTGTGGCAGATTTAATGCGCGAGGTAAGCTGTTCGCGAAACGCTCGCCCAAGCGGAAAAACGTGCTGCTGCTGTCAGATCTCGATTGCCGAGAATCACATTTTGTTTGATGCAAAAACTCGACTAAATCACAAGAAAAAAACGCAGTAACTGTATATTTTTGTTTTCTCAAGCAAAGCAAATTTTAAAAGTCCACTGAAAACATATCTTCTTAAATTTTTGGTCATAGACAACGTATGTTGAAGATATACGTTATTGTGTCAACGTTATTGGCTAAGCGGTAAATAAAAAAAAAAGTTTATAAAAAGGTGGGCTATATAAAATTTTAATAATAACAAACATCATGTTCCCTTTGTTTTGCGTATGCTCGTGTCGCTTACAATTAAAGTCCTTCTCTGATTTCATTATTGTTTGCAAGGTTGCAACGTTACTTTGCAATGTTTTAAATACTTTTTGGTATTTTGCATGGTCTGTTATTGGAGTAGTGTCACCCGGGTGGGATTTAACTCCTATTCACTGGGAATAAAAAAAATAATTTAGCAGATGCAGAGAGACATATAGACCGGGGAATCCACCCCATCTCCCCACCCTCTGATTACGTATCATAACGTAACTACGTGTAAACGTTATTTGGTGGTTTTTACTTGGAAAGCTATATTTTTCTTGCATTCGAATAATGGATCCATTTAAAACGATAGAAGAATGTTTGGAGAAGAATTTCATTTACAAATAAGGTAGGAAATGTGCATACTTTTAAATCGACACCTGCCACGATGTTTCTTAGCTATTTGTCATCTGTGATCCCTTGTGAGTGTACTAAAAAGCCGATGTGGTGGGGTCTTATCACTCAGCATACCCGGTTAAGCATAAAAACAGAAGTACACTATAATGATTGTACTCTTACTGTCATGGTTTCTGTTAATTTGGACTTTGTTTTCCTTTTGCACTGTTTCCCTTGTTGTGTTGATTGTATTATTCTGTTCAGGTGTGCCTACTTTAATTATCCTAGTACTTAAGTTCCTGTATGTTCACTTTGAGTTTGTCTGGTCTTATGCTGTGCTACATTGTGTTTGGATTTACCCTTGTTGGATTAAAGACTTATGATATATAACCTTTCATCTTCGT